CATAAAAACCTTTCCAAGAGGTGTTTTCTCACCTTAAGCACAAACTGATCGACACTTTTTTTGCAAGATATATATATATATATATAAAAAAAAGAGAAACCTCTACCAGGAGCTCACTTAGCTCATGCACTCAGGTGTTAAATGGACAGCTCATAGAAGGAATTACCCTCCCTGGACAGCCCCCTGCAGGCTTTGAAGCTGGGAAAGCAGCTCGTTTCTTAACACCACCTGGACTTTTTTTTTTTTTTAGCCAGCAAATTTGCTGCTAATTCAGTAGCTCAAGACACCAGCAAGAGTTTCCCATGTCTTGCTTTCCCTCTGGCACATCACAAGTTTTCCCCCCTTTCGTGCTAAAGGTCTGCAGTTCAATTATTGTGCCCGCCTGGGCAGGTGGTGAGGCTTTACCAGGCGAGAGCCAGAGGTTCAGTGGAGCCTTCTGGACTGGTTTAAAGGGATCAAAAGGACTCCTCTAATACCAAATTTTTACACAGATTTTATCCTTGCCATCTCTATCTCTGCACACCCCTAATTTTCCAGCAGGATGAAGAATAGATTCATTACTCAGCTGGGAGTGACTATGAAATCTCTGAAGCTTCTGCTGTTGCAGCTTTATTCTCCCACCTTGATCAACTGAGTCTTATTTCCTCAAAACTGCTTAGGGTGATATCTGAATCCCCAGAAGCCTAAATTATTGCTGAGAAATGAGTGCAGATTATTTGGCCTGTCTGCTTACCTGCTCTGAAATGCTAAAGAAAGATTTGAGGTACTCATCACCTTAATGTTGCCTCTTAGCCAAGATTGTAATTTCAAATATCTGATTATATTCCTCCCCTGATGAGTTCAAAGGAAACAAAGGCAGCAACCAAGATGCAGGGTTTAATTGCAGGAGGAAAAAAAGGCTTTGCAGAAGTTTCATGTGACAAAAATCAGCAACAAGTGCCATTTGTTATTAAATGAGCTGTCACATCCTAGAGTGTGTGTAAATGAGAATACCTTCCACAACAAGAGGGATCTAGAACTTGTTGTAAGGAAAAGAAACACACACACACACACAAATACCAACTGGGTGCTGAAGGAAGAGCAAACTGTTAAAGGGGAAAGGAATCATCTGTTTAAAAAGAGGTGAAAGACTTAAGCTGTTTGAGTCCAAATCACTGGGTAAAAATACTGAGCTTGGATATTGCTAAAGCCTGCTTTGGAACTCCAATTTTACTTTAAAAAAATGCACATTTAGTTCCATACTGATATTTAGCATTAGGTTTAATTTTACCAGGACTACTCTTACTATGGAAGACTGATCTAGTTAGAGGAGATAATGTTTAAATAATAGCCCTTGTTTACTTTAATCCTGATAGCAAACATATTTCAAACAGTTATTGAATCAAAAAAGGCTGGTGGAGGCACTTAAGAAAGATTCTGTGGATGAAGAGAGATGCAGCCTGACTGGGGAGAGCAACAGGAGTGCAATGAGATGGGAGATCTGCAGTGACATGAAGCGAGATTAAAAGCATTAAAACATTATGGATTGTGTACCCTAAAGAGCACACAACCCATGGGGGGACCTCAAAGCCTTCACATTCATAGAGTAGAATATAATCTTTTTTCCATACCTGGAACAAATAAGACAAGTCACTCAGTTTTCTTGCCCAATTACAAGAAAAAAAACATTCAGGGTAAATGTCAAGGAAACCTCTCTAAGGGCAGGGATGAGGAGACAGAATAGATTAGCAGAGCATCTCTCTACCATTGGAGATCTTTCAGAACACATTGAATAAATATCTGTCAGGATTAATATAGAGTTGATCCTGCCTTGGGGCTGATGGATGAGTTACATGACCTCTCTCACATCCTCCCAGGTTATTTTACTCTGATTCTGTTACACAGCCGCTCACAAAATCAGGAGCTGGATTTGATAACTGAAAACACCGTTTGCAAGATTCCTCAGGAACACACGAGTAGTACAAGATAAATCTCATTTTCAGGGACCACAGAGTTATTTGTTTCTCTGCTGTTGCAATCACCATCTTCAGGCAGTTGGGAACAGACACAGAAGTTGGGGTAATTTCCATTATCCAGTCTGGAAGTCAGCTCCAAAGGGTGGTAGATTAACTGCACTGCAATTGTGCTAAGGAGTATTTCAGCAAAGACACATCTGTTAAAAGCACCCTTGAAAGGCAGAGACCTTTAAATCTTTGAAGTTGTCCCTTTGAAAGACTTAATTTTTGCAGAAGTGATAAAGGTTTAACTAACAGAGCTTGATATCCAACCTGGGAGATATCAGGGAAACAAATAAAGAGTTTAAACACCATTTTTGAGAATTAAAATGCAAGATCTCCTCCAAGACATTCACTGGCAAGGGTCCCAAATCATTCTTGCTTAATACAGAATATCTCGAGTTGGAAGGGACCCATAAGGATCAATTAACTTACTAGCTAAGTAAGTTAATTCTCACCTTTAATGTAGCCAGATGGTTCCCAGGAACCAGATCACCAAAAAATGGAATCTTTGGCCTTTCTAAGATCAATTTCATGGCGGTAAGACAATACAATATCTTTTAAATAAAGATTATCTCAGCTTGTAGGAGTCATTTGTCAAAGAAAAACGTTTTAAAAAATGCTGGCAATGACCACCTGAGCTTCTGCACATCTCCAGCCTGAACTCTCTTAATAAATCTTTCAGACGTTGCAAAGAAAGGGGGGCTTAAGTTTCCTAAATCAATGGCCTCTGTGACTCTTAATATATTCCATTTTGGACATCCTCGAGATAACTGAGTTTTGCTTGTTAATTTGGGCTAAAAATGACTTGCAGTGAGATAGTCCACTTCAGGTCCAGCCAAGTGGAAGCAGCGCTCCTGCTCCAGAGGTGCAGACAGCACGGCATGAGGTTCCTGCATCTCACGAGCCAGGCAGTTCCCACTCCACTACCTCTGCCCTCCAGCAAAATGTAACAGAGCTGAGCTGTCCACAGGCTTTCAAAGCTCATGATTGACGAGCAGGACATGAAAAGCTGCATCATGCCCTGCACTCTCCTGCTAAGGGTCAGGGATGAGGTCCTGTCTCTGAGCCCACGACTGAGCTCCTGTCACTCGGCGTCGCTCTGCTACTCCCTGAACCTGTTTACAACAACCATCCATTTTGATCACAGGGGCCATCCATCTAGATCCCATGCAAATTAAATTAAAGCCTCAGCTTTCATCAGAGCAATCCTCATTTGTGTTGCAAGATGTGTGGTTTGATCTCACTGCAGCTCCAGCCTCGAATCCCAAATGCCACAAGTATTTGGGACCTGGTGTCGCTCACCCGGGTACAGCCAACCCCTGAGGTACTGCTGAGCATCACCAGAAGAAAACTGACTTTTTTTTGTTTGTTTGTTTTGACTGCTACTCCTTGAACCATGTGAAAGACAGAGATAGTGGGAAATCCCCTGTGCCCTGGGAGTTTTGGGGAACAGCTCTGGAAAAGGTTTTGGGAGATGCACCCAGAGTACCAGGTCAGGCAGCCAGGCAGCAAGGGCAGCAGAGAGGGAAAGGTTCTGCTTGCTTGCCCATCATCTCTGCAAAAGAATATTCTAGAAAGCAAGGAAACTTCTTTATTTGAAAGCACATCTCCAGAGGAGAATAAACCTAAAGATTTTTACACACACAAAAGCAAGGGGAAACTTCGTCTGTTGGGGATGTTCCCATTAGGTCTCCATGCCCTCCTCATTTCCTCTCCCCCTGTCAACAGTCTGTGTTGGTGAGGAATAACTGCCATGAAAGAATCAAAAACAACCTGGTTTACACAATTATTTGGTCTTTGCAATAATGAGTTTTTCTCCTCCTCCAGTAAAAGTATTGCAAAACCAGGCACCAGCAGCTTTTACAAGACTGAGCAGAAGTGAGAGTGGCAAAAGTTCATGCCAAAATCTCTGTTCTTACCTTGTTATGAGAAAATGAACAATGAGAAGCGTTGGCCACTGTTGGACAGTGACAGCAATAGGTAAAAATCCTCTCCCAAATCCTAGTTTTACACCGTATTTTACCCTTCATTCCTTAACAGAAGAGAACAGCCTCATAAGCTGCTTTCCAGAGCAGCTTGTTGACTAACAGCTGCTTGAGGATGAGGTGATGCTGGGCAGTGGCTTTATGACTTCACCTTGCTGCTGCAGGTTTCATCTTAGTCACAAATCCCTTTCAGAAAGGCAACAACAGAGGCTTTTACCTCCACTACTTCACTTAGCTCACTAAATTGTATTTTTCATCCTTTCTCTCCAAGAGAGGAAAGGAAAAAAAAAAAAAAAGTCACGAAAGTCAACACATTACACCATCCAACAACTTGAGACACAATGCAAACTCACACATCCAAAGTTTTGTTCTAGTCAGGGTTTGCAGAGTAACACAGCACTGTATTATGCAGCTCATGGACCAAAAAAGTGCTTTTGAAGCTACTCTAGCTTATCAGTTAAATATGCATTGAATTTATTTTTATATTTATTCTTTAAAGAGATGTATTATTAATTAGGCAACAGAACAGAGCAGCTTCCTTGGAATTATTCCAGTTTGGGACTGAAAAACATATGCAGGACGCCATCCAGAATAAAACCCCTTAGTAACTCAAGAGGACATTTCACACAGCAACAGAAAGCCTTTCAAAAGTAGTGTATTAGGACACAATCTCTTCTCTTTCTAGTTTATGCTGGGCACAGTACTCAGGGGAAAGATTAGGGAGAGGTGACTGTCTACTTAGTCCCTACAGGTTAAAAATAGCACGAGGATTGCTTGTGGGATCGCCCAAGTAACCTCAATCCCTGTGTTCTCACGTGCAAAACAGATTTCCCTTGACAGACTCAGCGCCCAAAAAGATGCCAGAAGAACCAGCAAGTCCCACCTGACATCACCATGCTGGTTTCAACAGCAGAGTAGTGATGTTGGAAATATCAAGTCCATGGTCTAACTGGGATGTTGGACAGGCAAATAACTCACATGAATTTAATGACTTTGTTATCAGTTTGCTCACACTTACCTTGCAGGCCCAGCTCTGGTCCTGCTGGCCAAGTGCACACAGGAGCTGGAGACCAGGAGAACTCAGCTCAGTAGAGGTGGGGAGTATTTAAAGGTGCTTTCTTATTCGTGGAGTCAAAGGCAGTCCCCAGTGCAAATTAAACAATCTGCACTCCTGTGCCTGCAGACAGTGCAGCAGAGACAGATGCAGAGCTAAACCAGCCCAGACCTGTAAATGAGTGACAGGGAGGACAATTAGCACAGCAGCCAAGAAAGATGTGCTTCACCCTTTTTCTGGGTGTTGTATTACATCGATGTTTATATTTAAACACAGGTAAAATTGAATGGTCCCTTTTTGCACAAGTATAAATGATAATGCACGTTTCAGATAATGAACCATGAGCCACAGATTGCTTGACAGAGCACAAAGCAGAAGCCTGGGAGAAAAAATTGCCTCCTGTTTGCAGGAGCCAGCTGGGAGGTGGATTCAGCTCAGAAGTTGTGACACTGCAACCCGAACACGCACCTACAGCCCACCCCAGGTCCCTCTGCCCAGCTGTTTCTCAGGATGCTGTAACAACTGGTTATTAACATGCACTTTGAAAGGTGCCCTCTGCACATTCTCCACACTCACACACAAATCAAGCAAGCACAGTTGAAGAGGTTGCTGCCCACGTGCAAGATCTGAGACACTGCAAGTGCAAGGAAGCACAGCTCTCCGTTTGGACACTGCAAGTCATGCAGAATCCACCGAAGCCTGTGACCAGCTGCTCCCTTGCTTTGTTCTCTGCAGATTTGACTCCTTTTTTTTCTTTACATTGAGCCTCTGGGCCTTCTTTTGCCAAAGTTTGATCATGTTTGTGGTTCAGTTTAATTCTCCTGAACTTCAGGAGCTCTGCCTCCTTGTACAACCCAAGAAAAAGAGTCAGATCAAGCCACTCCAAGTACCAAGTAAGTCCACAAAGTCTCAGGTGCCCAAACTTGGGATGATAACTGGTAAAATTATCCCTTTGGCTTCTCTTTGTAGAACTGAGCTCTTAAAACCCACCTATTGTTATTTCACAGACTTGGGGACTTTCAACTCTCAGTTTACCCACCACATCAGACACCCAAGATGCAGAGCAGGGTGTGCTCCAGATAAAGGTTTCCACACACAAACCTCAAACTTGTGTTTCCAGCTGACCAACCCACAGAACACCTAGATGCACAGATGTGCTCCAAAATCACTCTCAGTTGTCACATCTCTTTTTGACAGGTGTTGGAGGTAACTCAGTAAAGTTGCATTAACACGACTTTAAAGCAAGAGGACTCCAGGCTAAATTTAAAAAAAAAATAATCCAGTGGGGAACATACAGAAGCTGACACAGCTCTTATGCTGGGCTGGTCATTTCACCTTCCTCCCTTCCTTTTTAGTTTTCTCTTCCAGAGGGAATCAGGCATTGGGCTGAGTGTTGAACTGTCAGTTCAGATTTTCAGCCCTAAGAGATGAATTTCCCTCGTGACTCGAGTCATGCCCACACTAACCCTCTGCAATTGTGGCTGTGTAGTTAATCATATGCAGCTACACTGAACCTGATTGTTAAAAGGCTGAGTAAATATAACTACACCCTCGTTATCTTGTTTAAAGGTAGAAAGATTAATTTGAATTCTAACTGGAAATACTGATTCAATGAATAAGCCCGAAATGTAGCGGTTTTCAATTACACTAAGAAATTGGTCTTTTGAATTTTCAAATTATGCAAGGCAAAGCAAGTTCACTTTAATCTAGACGTGGGGATATATTTGCCATTCTCACAGTGCTGTGTGTCAGTGGGTAATAGCTAAAAGGAGAGTGAAAACCCTGTAATGTTGGCTGTTGGTGCCCTCCAGGGGCCTGGCTGGGTATAAATTTCAGCCTAAACATAATTTTGGAGCATTCAAGCAAATACAATAAACATTGCATATTATTACCCTGTTTTAAAAGGGGGTGAGGGCCATTATTCATGGTCTCAGTGGACAGTTTCTCTCCACAGTCCCACAGACACTGGGATGCTCAATCAAACAAGACAAGGGAGGTATTTATTTATATTTGACTGCTTCCACTTTTCCTGCCTGGATTCTTAAGAGGGCAAGGTTTATGTTTGGTCACATAAACCTGAAGGTCAAGCAGAGGTGGGGAACACATGACATGCTGACAGCATTTGCAAAAAAAAGGCATCAAGAAATGAAAGCAAGCAAGTCCATTTTTGGTTGCAGGCTTACTCCAGCCATACCTCCAATGACTGATACCCTCCAGCAGGATTTACACCCTCTGGAACAACACAGAGAGCCTCCCCCTGCCCTCACAGATTGCAGGTTACTTCCTAAGGACATGGACTATTAATTGTCATTTTCCTTTGCCATCCCATAATACAGTTGCCACAAGACTAAACATCAGAGAGGAAAAGGGAAAAAAAAAAAAAAACAGTCACTGACAACCAAAAAAACCACACAAAAGAAACAAAACCCCAACAAAAACAAAACTAAACCAAACCAAACAAACAAAACCCCAAAACCAAGAAACAAACCCCCAACCAAACAAAAAACCATCAAAATCAGGTCTGTCAGAGCACAGGACCAGTCCACACAAGCTCAGAAGATAACAGACCTCTAGCAGTGAGCTATCTGATCCAGGATTTTTCTGGAATTAGTGGAACTCCTCTCTACCTTAAATAACTGCAGAGAGTGTGGCTAAGAGGAGTTGTATTATCAGGGCACAGCTATGTTAGAATTTCTCCTCCATAACAATCCCAGACCTTACAGAAGCACTTCCAAAAATAAGTCTGGAATTATTGTCCAGTCTCACCTGCCAGAGTAGCTACAACTTTATAGATGCTTTTTCTGCAAAATAAAAACTCAAAGTTTTTTGGTTTTTCAGAGGTGTCCACTAAAGCCACATCTCCCTTCTTCCCCTCGCAGGATAAACTATACAATAAAAGGCTTGGTTGTGGAAAGCTCCTCTTCCATTGGAGTAGGTTTGGCACAACTACTTTGTTTCAGGAGTTCAATTTTCCGTCCCCTGCTCACATTTTTCAGCCCACCCTGCACAAATACTGAAATGAATATTTAAATTTTCTGAGAGGCACGAGTAGGCAGGACTGCTCTGGATGCTGTGAATGCCCAGCAGGGCATGAGATGCTCAGCTCTGAGCCCTGTGCTTTCTCCTCCACAAAGTCCAGCATCAAATTGCAGGCTGAGGTGTTGCTGACATTATTCACCAATATGAGATATTTGGAGACCATGAGACTTTGAAAGCTAAAGCTGCTGAAGGTGTTCTACCATGGAGGGGCACAAGTCAGCTTCTGAGAGAACTGCTGAGATAGTTATAGACTCCCTCCCCCTTTCCCTGCACAAAGCTCCCTGGTCATGTCAATAAACGAGACTTTAAAGATGAGGAAAATCCAAAAAGTCTTTGACGCAATTAATATCAGATAATTGTCCCGAGCCTTCTTTCATCTGCCAATTACAAGGTGGAAATTGAGTCTGGGGAGCCACTGCAGATCATCTTTATGCAATTACGACTTATGATGAACTACCCAGCCCCAGCAGCACTCCCCAAGCTACAGCACGAGCCTAAGTGGAAGACCTGGAGCAGGAACGACACAACGTCAATCCCGGCATTTAACATGCCCACAAGCCAGAACGTTCTCCTGGTTTGCTGCTGAATCTGACCACACGGCTCATGGATGAAAAATCACTCCAGAAATCAGAATGGCAGGTAATTAGCAGCACATGCTGTCTTCCATTACTTTGTTTTGTTCTCCTTAAATCATTCCCCATCCCTGCTCTCCCCCTCGCTGTTTTCCAGGGTTATTTGGAGGCAGCTTCAAACCTCCTGCACAGCAGCTTGGCTTCCAGCAATGCCACAGAACACACCTGGGGTTCAGAACTGAACATAGTCCCAAATAGCTAAAATTTGACAATGAGCAGTCAGAAACCTGACTTTGTACCAGTTCACCCTTAGAAGAAACACAGCTCAGTCTTTTTACCTCCCAGACACACTGTAAGACATCAGGCTCCCATTAAGAGAGGAATATCAATTAATACAGAAGCCAATACACCAAAGCATGAGAGTTCTGGCCCAGGGGGTCCTCAGACCTAGAGCTGCACCAGCTGCTTTCTGTGAGGCCAACAGGAATAAAACAAACTCCTGCTGATTCTGCCTCATCCGAGCTCTTTTCACTTATATGTAGTCAAGACTGATTAACGTGGGGATTCTGGAACAACACTCTCTGTTACATTCCATGTTTTCCGCTTGCTGAAGTAGGACAGAAAGCTGAGCAGGTTTCTTGTGATCACCTGCAGGCCCTGCAAGAGGCAGCTCAGCAGGCTGGACGGCACTGGGGACTGCTGAGAAATGCAGCCTCTCCCCTGCACCTGCAGGTGGCACGGGCTTCCTGCACATTCCCAGTCCAGGCTCCACAATCACATTCCAAGAGGGTAAAAAAAAAAAAAAAACAAAAACAAAAACCACCAAAAACAACAACAACAACCCACTTTCTAGATAAAGAGAGGTTTCAAAGATCGTATACTGATTTATGATTTATTTTGTTCAAAACCAGCAATTTAAACAATTGCTTTATTTTCCTGGGGCTGTGCTGGATTAGATTTAGAAAATATTGACAAGCAAAGATTAATGCTGGAGAACAGAAAATGAGGTAAAGGAGACTGACAATGAAATACAGAGCCAGCACCGTGCTCAGAACAGCAGAATATGAAGACTCATGAAAAGTTTGACTCGTATGGATCACGACAGCAACAAATAGCTTCAACTAGCAGAGGAGGGCCCATCTTGGGAATTAAAGTTCAGCCAGTAATTTTAGCCAGACAGCATCTCACTGCCAAGTTTTTGCAGTGAATAATAGTTTAACTCCTAACAAGGTGTTTTACCCCCACAGTGCAGGTCTGGTCACTCACGTGTCACCTCTGCCCCCAAGGGGGAAGGAATTGAAAATTAGTATTTCAGGGGGCTTAAATTGCATGTGTTCATCTTGAAACACCTTTTAAAATTATTTGTCCAAATTAAAAAAAAAAAAAACAACCAAACAAACCGAAAAAACAAACAAACAAAAACCCACACAAAAACCTAAACAACCCCCCCCCATACGAACAAACAAAACCCAAAACAAACAAAAAAACAAACACATAACTCATATCATGTCCTCCTGCAGGTACCAGTCACTTAAAAAATCAGCCCAACATGCAGTGGGT